ACGATTCCACTACGGCTTTTTCCATCATAAGACGTCTCAAAGGAGGAAGTAGGAGAGTAGAAAACTTATCAGTACAAGACAGAACTGGAAAACTACTTGTAAATACAAAAGATACGTTGAAACGTTGGCGTGAATTCTTCTCTGAATCTCTCAGCGCTTGTACATTGGTTGATCAAAACTTAATTGATCAAATTCAAATATCAACTCTATCAACAGCTGAAAAAAAATAGACAGAATTCTATACCCTCGATTGCAGAGGTGAGGAAAGCCATGAGCCAAATGAAGTCTAGAAAAGCTCCAGGTAGTGATGAAATCACACTTGATATGCTAAAAGCTGGAGGTGAGCCAATGATAAGATCGCTTTTCAATCTGTTCACTGATATATGGGAAAATGAACAGATGCCGAAAGAATGGAGTGTGGCAACTTTGATCAAATTATATAAAAATAAAGGCGATAAAAAAATATGTGACAATTACAGAGGCATTGCCTTACTGAATACAACAAGTAAAATATTCTCAAGAATCATACTTAGCCGTATTCAAGATATGATAGATTGTCAATTACTAGAAATACAATCCGGTTTTCGACCGAACAGATCTACTATTGATCAAATATTCGCTCTAAAAATGACAATGGAAAAATGAAGAGAATTCAATAAACCATTATTCATGTGCTTTATTGACATTGCCAAGGCTTATGACTCGGTTGATCGTGAACTCCTATGGAAAGTATGTCTTCGTTATGGCATTTCTCAAAAATTGGTTAATCTATTAAAAATGCTTTACGAAGACTCCATAGCGAAGGTCAAAGTAAATGATGAAATGTCGGATAGCTTTGAAATAAAAGCGGGTGTATTGCAACGAGGTTTTCCATCTCCAATCATATTCAATATTCTTTTGACTTTATCATAAAAAAGATCATCGACGTAGCTGCTATCTCAGGTGTAAAATTTTCATATGGCAGTAATGATTTCTTTCCTGGAAGAAACGAAAAACACCTTGATTTTCATCTCTTGGTACTTTTATATGCAGACGACATAGTTGTAATATGTGAAAATGCTACTGATCTAGAAAAATTCATAAGATCGTTTGAAAAAGTAACTCAAGCTTTCAGTTTGACTATGAGCATTACAAAAACCTGCTTGATGTCACTACAACAATTTAAAGAGGATCAACATAAAAAAGTGCTGAAAAAACAGAATATCAGTCAGACAGATATTGATATAAATATAAGAAATCAAAAAACTGAAACAGTTGATTCCTTCACATATCTAGGTTGCACCATCACCAATGATCAACGACAAGATACAGAAATATCAATACGACTATCAAAGGCTGCTAAAGCTTTTAATATGTTACGCCATTCAGTATGGCATAGAAAATCTGTTTATATTACAGCAAGACTTCGCATATTTAGAGCATGTATACTTCCAGTGTTATTATATGGTAGTGAAACATGGTCTCTAACAAAAAAACTAGAACAAAGTATCGTCACCTTCTATAACAGATGGTTACACACGATTATCGGTGTAAACTTTCGTGATCGAATGCCAAATGAAACATTATTAGATACTACAGGACAGCCAACAATTGAAAACATCATACGTAGAAACAGATTGAGGTGGTTCGGTCATGTGAATCTGGCTGAGAATCGTGATGGTCATCCAACATTGGCTAAAAAAACTATGTTTGCATATTTTCATAATGAAAAAAGGCCTTGTAATATGGGTAGAAGCAATCGATGGGAGGACAAAGTCCTAAAAGATATTGAAGAACTAAACATAGATAACTGGAGGAAGATGACACTAGATATAAGTCGATGGAGAGAAGCAATAAATCAAGACGTACACATCAAACCGACACATACAAACATTAAAAATATTATTCACGAATATAAACAGCGTGCAGCACGAAGAAGAAAAACAGAAGTAGCTGCATCAACAGAAACAACAAAAGGCAAAGTAACAGAAATATTAGCCAAAGAAAACAATCAATACAAGTGTCCAGGCTGCAAGAAACACTTCAAACCACAAGGAATCACAAATCATATTAAAGCTTGTACACAAGCAACAACGTGGTGCAAAAAGAACAACATCAATTATGAACACGGTGAAGATGATTGCAAAGCTCCTACTAGGATTGATCTCGGAATAGTATGACGACTATTATCTAAACTGACACTATCAGAGGGTAGTAGGCTGATAGATGTCCGACTTCAACACTTGTATCGACTAACATGGCTGTCGTCGTATAAAGACAAAAAGACATTATTTCCTTTTTTTTCTTTTCTCTTTCTTTTTCACTTTGCTAATCCTTTTGTGTGTTTTGTACCTTGTATCATAATCTCACCATACACCGGAAACGGTAAGGGTCTATAAATATAACCATTAGAATTAATTAATTTCTTTATAGTATATTTACGTTATATGAAGAATGTCCTTATTGAAAAGTTACGATCTAAAATATTAAATTTTTATTGCTTTCCATTCGATTGAGACTCGTGATGAATTCTGTTATTGCTCTCTAAAAAAATGTCGTTTTCTAGAAAACCTAAACCGCTTCGGAAATCCTCACGACCATCTTTAGAGATTTCAGAGAGGGTTTCCTAGAATTTGAAGCGTTTTCAAGAATATCATTTCGGTTTCCAAGATCTAAAAAACCCTCAGTTTTTCTACAATATCGATTCCGATGCCATTAAGGTATTTTGAAATCTCTTTTTCTTAATGTCGGAAACCTACTCGTATTCTCAGAACCCATTAGGATATTGTAGGAAACTAATCTTCCAAGAAAACCGAGTTGGTATCCAAATGAATATGCTAGAAAACCTTTCCGATTTCTGAAGTCTTTCCTTGCAAATCTTCTCGGTTTCCGAGTTTTTTCGAATTTGTAAAAGGTTGTGACAGTTTAAAAAATCTTGAATGCTTCACAAGACCGACCATGATCTGAGTTCAAAATATCTCAGAAGAACGTTTTCGATCATCAAACAGGACCGATCAAAAATTGGACTGCGGAAAAATAAGATTCTTTATTTCAACTCCGTTCTCAATTCTGATGAAAGTTCGCAATAGGTTATCGAGGTCCGGTAATCCGAATCCGCTATCATTTTTTCGATCCGACCTTCGATTTGTCAGAAAGTGGAGCGATGAAAAACAAGATTTTTTATCGTTACACTGAAATTGATTTCAAAAGATTCTTATAGGCATGGCTTGAGCATATATTAACATCTCATAATACCGTACTATTTTTTATAGCAGAATAAATTAATAATTAAGGCTGAGGTGGATGTAGATGCTTTTCTTTCTTTATAACTTTTAGTTGAAATATGCGTTTACTGAAAATTATTTTACAATCAAACACTGTCTCTTACACTTACAATTCGGGAGAGATTTCAGTCGCTATTCAGGGCTAAAATTAATCGATCGGGCTTATCGATATCAGTATCTACAGAAAATACTTCTGCTTTATTCCGTCCAAGGTCAGGTGAGTCGAAGCCACAATCGCTACTTGTTATATTTCTGTTTAGATCAATTATCAGATGAACAAATATTAACGGTGAGTTCTAGTTTTAAAGTTAAAACCTGTTGAAATATTTTATTTCTGTTTAAATCAAACATCCCATGCCGATCGTTCCATCCACCGAAAGCTGGAGGAACTGGCAGAAAAGATGCCTGAAAGTCACCGTATTCTGTAGGAAAGCACATGGTGTCACTGCAACACGGAAGCGGTATCCTGGCCGCAAAATTTCTGGATTTTTTCTGATGAGTTCCTACCAACTTGCTGTGTCTTTCGGCAAGATGCGCCGGAAATCATGGATAACAATTGGGAAAGTTTGCCGTCGGAATACTGCTTCGATGTTCCAGGGATATCGTGTGTTTTCCTACAGGATACGGTGATTCTCAGAAATCTTTCCTGCCGGTTTCTACAGAACCCGGTTCTTTTTTTAAAGAACGGATGTGTTTCGCATTGAATAGTGGTGGAAAACTATTTTCCTAATGGAGCATAGCACCCTGAGAAACCTTCGTTCAGTGTTGCGTGGTGAATTATACAGAACCCAAAGTACGAAACCCTTGTTATCAGCTATTAAAAGTTAAGGCGTTTTACGAAACCTTAAGAGAGGATCCATGAGACCACCATCCAACCCGGTTGCCGAAAAATTTTAAAAGTTGAAATCGATTATCACGTTTGAAAGAGCACAAAAAGTTAGCCTTAAAACCAAAATATTAGCCCTTAGAAGCTAGGTTAAATGGTGATATGAGGGACCAACTTTTCGGAGGCCAGTGACAAGGGTCGATTTTTTCGTGTATAGAGTTTTTTAGCGCAGAAACTTCACTGTAAATAATACTGTTGTATACCAATCGATAGAGCAAAGTTTTCTCTACAAAACCTTATAATTGGTAGTTCTCTTCGTGCCACCTATCAGGTCCAAATAATCGATGTATCATAAAAAACCGCCAACTTTTATGGTCACTCATCATCCTTCTGGACTTTATTTCCTCGTTATCTTTTGATGGCCTAGGTTAGACTTTAGATAATATTGTAGAGCATGAAATGACGCATCTTTTCATATAAAAATATCTGCTTCAAAGTACTCGCAAAGTTTCTAAAAATCGATAAGAAGATTCTCCACTCACACCATTTTTCGCTATTTTCAAGCTCCACATTTTTTCAGTAGATCAATCAAATCTCGGCAACCAGCCGACCGTTTTGGACAAGGTTAGTGTGATTCAATAGAGCATGTAAAATTACAACCGTAGCTGTTTCATAACTCATGTTCACATTTCTTCCCTTCACGACAGGAGGGACAAACCGAAAATTGATAATATTAAAAAATGCTTTTATGAGTAGATTTTGACTTCCAGCTATAGGATTTGTCTATCTCGGACTTCTGATTACAGTTGGAGTTCAATGAAGTGATTGAGCATTGGATGGTGTGAATTCGAAAACGTTTTGCTCGAAAACTCTCTAGTTTAGCTGTTGTCGCAAATTTTACATTGAGATTTTTACTNTTACCTTAAGAGATGAATGAGATTATTCAACAAAAAAAATTGCATTCAACACGCCAACTGATCCAAACATTGCCACCAGAAAAGCAACTACTCAATCAGTGCACAAATAAACACAAACTTTATGCCAAAATTTTGCCTATGTCATAGGCGAACAAACCGCCAGGTCATTCATCAATGGCATCATCAGTTGGTTATCACTTCACCCTCCAGATATCAATCACTACGAGAATGCCGATGCTTTTTTTTTTGTCCGATGTTATTATGGTAATTACGTTTCCTTCTTCATTGGTAATTACAAGCATTATCTTTACTCTTGGAAACATATCTATCTATGGCCTTATCGATACATTAAAGATGGACAACATCAAAGCCAAAATCTTTTAGTCATTGATATAGACGTGATGATACACGCCTATCAAATAACTGATGTTGACAAGAACTCAGAATTCACTATCAAAAAATATTTTTGATATTCATATGTGCAGATTGTCTTCCAAATTCTTTTTGTTTTGTTGAATAATCTCATTCATCTCTTAAGGTAAGTATTGGCTCCACTGTTTAACTAATCTCACAAATCGTGTACCTATGAGGAATGCTTTGATTCGCCAAATTCTCATACATGATATATTCTAACATGTTTCGGCAATTTTCGAAGGAAACAATTCAAGTAGTCAAGACACATATGATTGGTTATCTTAAGTACTTGTGAAGCGAAATATGATCAACATTAGCCATCAGATAGCTATAGAATGTTTGAAGCAGAAATCTAGTTCAGAACTTATTTAATAAAAAATTAATTTTTCAACAAATCTTTTTGAAAATTGCTCAAATTAGTTCTCTTTGGCGTACGGGATTCATATGAAATTTCATGTGTGCTACAACACTCTAAGAAATATTCTAGTTTTATCGATATAATTTTTAAAATTCTGGCATTAACACTCGAACGAGGAGAGGAAGCGTTGAAACGGAAACTGAGTAAATACCGAGATAGTTCTTTCAGAGGCTAACCTATAACATTGTTTCTTTCCATTTTGATGTGTCTTAGCATATGCGAATTAGTATTCTATATGATGAGTCTAATTTTTGAAAGCGTGATTTTCTGAAACAGAGGTGGGCGATCCATGGATTTCAACCCGTGGGGTCACGTGACGACGGCGGGCGGGGAACACATTTTTTTAGTTCTTCGGGATTGGCGGGGTACGGTTTTTGTTCAAGATGCGGGCGGGCGAGGCTGGTAAGATTATTTTAAAAATATGCGGGGTTCGGGCAGGGTGAGGATAGATATGCACGGGTTCGGGCGGGTAAAGACCGTAGAAATTTATCGATAAATGTCGTTATTCTAGATATGTACTACGATGTATATTTTGGTTGGTTCATTATTTTCATCCTATTAATAGCTACAAGTAGTGATGAACCTAAACTCTTTATATTGGAAAGGAAAGAACGAAAATATAAATTCTTATGACTATGGTGCAAGTAAGACGTAGTTTTTCTTTCCTTCCTGTACGAAATTACGAATATCGTGTTCAGCAATGACAGTGAGATATATATGATTTCGTAATTTCGTACAGGAGGAAAGAAAAATTACATCTTACTTGCACCATAGTCGTAAGAATTTTTATTTTCGTTCTTTCGCTTTCGCGTTAGTTTCGGCCGATCACTAGCTACAAGCTTTTGTTTCTTCTTTTCCTTATCGTTTCTTATATTGAACTCCGATTATTGATTTATATTCACAAGCGAAAAAACAAACAGAAAGATCATTTAGTATTTAAAATTAATCTTTGAAATCGACTGACTCTCTTATCAATAACAATGATCTAGTTAAATGATTTATCATCTGATGAATCGTTTGATAGTATGATGCCATCGAATGCCTCTCGTTCACATTCAAAACTTGAATATGAACAAGAATTATTCGATGGCATCATACTACTTGGGTCGGCTGCGGCTCATTCAAAGACTCACATAATATATGGCAAAAAAGTTCGCGTCATTTTTCCTATCGATGTATTTTTGCAACTGTTTGAGCGAAGTCAATCGATAAAAAGTCATATTAAAGAGCACTTAAAAGTGCACTTATGGTGTAAAAATAGCGGTTCTAAATTAAGAAGTAAGTGAGTAACGATAAAAATGTTGGTTATGTGTTTTTGGATCTTAGAAAACAATTCCATAATGTAAATAATCAGAATATAAAGTAAATTATTTTCTTCTCATATATATAAGTATAAAGCGAACGTTACTCTCACTATCGCACGGATATTTTTCTCGTCGACTTCGTCACAAAAGAAAAAAATGTGTAGTTCTGTAATTTTAAATATATAAAAAAATCACCTCTAAAATTCGTCAATGATATTCTCACATCTATATCCATCTTATCACTTGAGTTAGAATCGTTATTTTTACACCATAAGTGCACTTTTAAGTGCTCTTTAATATGACTTTTTATTGATTGAATTCGCTCAAACAGTTGCAAAAAAACATCGATAGGAAAAATGACGCGAACTTTTTTGCCATGCCTTAAAACACGAAAAGCTCATGGTGTAGCAATATGTCTTGATAAAACTGCCATGAGAGTTTGGAAAGATTCAGGAAGCGAATGGGGACCGATCAATGAACAAATTGTAAAAATTCACTTGTATTGTGTACCAATTCATATCACTGTAATAGCAGTATATGCTCCTGTAAATCCACAAACGAAACAAATGGGTGATGAATGTGATAAATTCTATGCTGATTTACAAGATACAATAAATAAAGTGTCATCAAATGATATGCTTATCATAATGGGTGATCTAAATGCCCGAGCTGGCAAAAGACAACAAAAACGACATAAACACGAAATAAGAAGTAGTATCGGTCCATTCACAGTAGACATAGAAAATGAAAATGGAACAAGACTGGTCGACCTCTGTGAGATAAACGATATCCTATTATCAAACACATTTTTCAAACACAAATTAGTGCATCAAACATCTTGGATGCATCCAAGAAATAAGATATGGCATACGGTTGATTACACTCTTGTCAACAAAAAGTTCAGATCGAGCGTCGAAGACGTTCGAATGTTTAGAAGGGCAGCAGGTGTAATAGGAACTGACCATCACTTAATGCGTGTCAAGATTAGGATGCATCTGAAAAGCAGAAAGATAAATATTAATAAAAAAAATAAAAGTTGATAGTACTAAGCTAAAAGACGACAGACTACTAGAAGCTTGTCAAAAAGATCTTTGTAACATATTCGATGATTCAAAGGATGACACGAACGACATTGATAGGAAATATGGACTGCTGGCATCACAAATAAAAGAAAAGGTCAAGTGTCATTTTTCAATTGATAAAAACACAAATCGAAAAAGGAAAGAATGGTTGACAACTCATATTTTAAATATTCTTGATAAAAAATCAGAAGCATTCATTGGATGGCAGAATAACCGTAGCTCGGAATTAGAGTCTAAATATCATAAAAAATATAAACGCCTACGTAAAATAGCCAAAAGAATGACTCAGCATCGTCAAGAAGTATATTGGGACGAAGTATGCGCGGATAAGAAAGGTCTATTAGGAACAACGATTCCACTACGGCTTTTTCCATCATAAGACGTCTCAAAGGAGGAAGTAGGAGAGTAGAAAACTTACCAGTACAAGACAGAACTGGAAAACTACTTGTAAATACAAAAGATACGTTGAAACGTTGACGTGAATTCTTCTCTAAATCTCTCAACGTTTGTACATTGGTTGATCAAAACTTAATTGATCAAATTCAAATATCAACTCTATCAACAGCTGAAAAAAATAGACAGAATTCTATACCCTCAATTGCAGAGACGAGGAAAGCCATACGCCAAATGAAATCTAGAAAAGCTCCAGGTAGTGATGAAATCACAATTGATATGCTAAAAGCTGAAGGTGAGCCAATGATAAGATCGCTTTTCAATCTGTTCACTGATATATGGGAAAATGAACAGATGCCGAAAGAATGGAGCGTGGCAACTTTGATCAAATTATATAAAAATAAAGGCGATAAAAAAATATGTGACAATTATAGAGGCATTGCCTTACTGAATACAACAAGTAAAATATTGTCAAGAATCATACTTAACCGTATTCAAGATATGATAGATTGTCAATTACTATAGAAATACAATCCGGTTTTCGACCGAACAGATCAACTATTGTTCAAATATTCGCTCTAAAAATGACAATGGAAAAACGAAGAGAATTCAATAAACCATTATTCATGTGCTTTATTGACATTGCAAAGGCTTACGACTCGGTTGATCGTGAACTCCTATGAAAAGTATGTCTTCGTTATGGTATTTCTCAAAAATTGGTTAATCTATTAAAAATGCTTTACGAAGACTCCATAGCGAAGGTCAAAGTAAATGATGAAACGTCGGATAGCTTTGGAATAAAAACGGGTGTAATGCAACGAGGTATTCCATCTCCAATCATATTCAATATTCTTTTTGACTTTATCATAAAAAAGGTCATCGACGTAGCTGCTATCTCAGATGTAAAATTTTCATATGGCAGTAATGATTTCTTTCATGGAAGAAACGAAAAACACCTTGATTTTCATCTCTTGGTACTTTTATATGCAGACGACATAGTTGTAATGTGTGAAAATGCTACTGATCTAGAAAAATTCATAAGATCGTTTGAAAAAGTAACTCAAGCTTTCGGTTTGACTATGAGCATAAAAAAAACATGCTTGATGTCACTACAACAATTTAAAGAGGATCAACATAGAAAAGTGCTGAAAAAACAGAATATCAGTCAGACAGATATTGATATAAATATAAGAAATCAAAAAATTGAAACAGTTGATTCCTTCACATATCTTGCACTATCACCAATGATCAACGACAAGATACAGAAATATCAATACGACTATCAAAGGCTGCTAAAGCTTTTAATATGTTACGCCATTCAGTATGGCATAGAAAGTCTGTTTATATTACAGCAAGACTTCGAATATATAGAGCATGTATACTTCCAGTGTTATTATATGGTAGTGAAACATGGTCTCTAACAAAAAAACTAGAACAAAGTATCGTCACCTTCTATAACAGATGGTAACGCACGATTATCGGTGTAAACTTTGGCGATCGAATGCCAAATGAAACATTATTAGATATTACAGGACAGCCAAGAATTGAAAACGTCATACGTAGAAACAGATTGAGGTGGTTCGGTCATGTGAATCGGGCTGTGAATCATGATGGTCATCCAACATTGACTAAAAGCACAATGTTTGCATATTTTCATAATGAAAATAGGCCTTGTAATATGGGTAGAAGCAATCGATGGAAGGACAAAGTCCTAAAAGATATTGAAGAACTAAACATAGATAACTGGAGGAAGATGACACTAGATATAAGTCGATGGAGAGAAGCAATAAATCAAGACGTACACATCAAACCGACACATACAAACATTAAAAATATTATTCACGAATATAAACAGCATGCAGCACGAAGAAGAAAAACAGAGGTAGCTGCATCAACAGAAACAACAAAAGGCAAAGTAACAGAAATATTAGCCAAAGAAAACAATCAATACAAGTGCCCAGGCTGCAAGAAACACTTCAAACCACAAGGAATCACAAATCATATTAAAGCTTGTACAAGAGCAACAACGTGGTGCAAAAAGAACAACATCAATTAGAAACACGGTGAAGATGATTGCAAAGCTCCTACTAGGATTGATCTCGGAATAGTATGACGACTATTATTTAAACTGACACTATCAGAGGGTAGTAGGCTGATAGATGTCCGACTTCAACACTTGTATCGACTAACATGGCTGTCGTCGTATAAAGACAAAAAGACATTATTTCCTTTTTTTTTCTTTTCTCTTTTTTTTTTCACTTTGCTAATCCTTTTGTGTGTTTTGTACCTTGTATCATAATCTCACCCCACACCGAAAACGGTAAGGGTCTATAAATATAACCATTAGAATTAATTAATTTCTTTATAGTATATTTACGTTATATGAAGAATGTCCTTATTGAAAAATTACGATCTAAAATATTAAATTTTTATTGCTTTCCATTCGATTGAGGCTCATGACGAATTCTGTTATTGCTCTCTAAAAAAAATCTCGTTTTCTAGAAAACCTAAACCGCTTCGGAAACCCTCATGCCAATCTTTAGAGATTTCAGAGAGGGTTTCCTAGAATTTGAAGCGTTTTCAAGAATATCGTTTTGGTTTCCAAGATCTAAAAAACCCTCAGTTTTTCTGCAATATCGATTCCGATGCCATTAAGGTATTCTGAAATCTCTTTTTCTTGATGTTGGAAACCTACTCGTATTCTCAGAACTCATTAGGATATTGTAGGAAACTAATCTTCCAAGAAAACCGAGTTGGTATCCAAATGAATATGCCAGAAAACCTTTTCGATTTCCGAAGTCTTTCCTTGCAAACCTTCTCGGTTTCCGAATTTTTCGAATTTGTAAAAGGTTGTGACAGTCTAAAAAATCTTGAATGCTTCACAAGACCGACCATGATCTGAGTTCAAAATATCTCAGAAGAACGTTTTTGATCGTCAAACTGGACCGATCAAAAATTGGACTGCGGAAAAATAAGATTCTTTATTTCAACTCCGTTCTCAATTCTGATGAAAGTTCGCAACAGGTTATCGAGGTCCGGTAATCCGAATCCGCTATCATTTTTTCGATCCGACCTTCGATTTGTCAGAAAGTGGGGCGATGAAAAACAAGATTTTTTATCGTTACACTGGAATTGATTTCAAAAGATTCTTATAGGCATGGCTTGAACATATATTAACATTTCATAATACCGTACTATTTTTTATAGCAGAATAATTTAATAATTAAGGCCGAGGTGGATGTAGATGCTTTCCTTTCTTTATAACTTTTAGTTGAAATATGCGTTTACTTAAAATTATTTTACAATCAAAAACTGTCTCTTACACTTACAATTCGGGAGAGATTTCAGTCGCTATTCAGGGCTAAAATTAATCGATCGGGCTTATCGATATCAGTATCTACAGAAAATACTTCTGCTTTATTCCGTCCAAGGTCAGGTGAGTCGAAGCCACAATCGCTACTTGTTATATTTCTGTTTAGATCAAACATCCCATGCCGATCGTTCCGTCCATCGAAAGCTGGAGGAACTGGCAGAAAAGATGCCTGAAAGTCGCCGTATTGTGTAGGAAAGCACATGGTGTCACTGCAACATGGAAGCGGTATCCTGGTCGCAAAGTTTCTGGATTTTTTCTGATGAGTTCCTACCAACTTGCTGTGTCTTTCGGCAAGATGCGCCGGAAATCATGGAAAAAAATTGGGAAAGTTTGCCGTCGGAATACTGCTTCGATGTTCCAGGGATATCGTGTGTTTTCCTACAGGATACGGTGATTCTCAGGAATCTTTTCTGCCGGTTTCTACAGAACCCGGTTCTTTTTTTAAAGAACGGATGTGTTTCGCATTGGATAGTGGTGGAAAACTACTTTCGTAATGGAGCATAGCACCCGGAGAAACCTTTGTTCAGTGTTGCGTGGTGAATTATACAAAACCCCAAGTACGAAACCCTTGTTATTAGCTATTAAAAGTTAAGGCTTTTTACGAAACCTTAAAAAAGAGAGGATCCATGAGACCACCACCCAACCCGGTTGCCGAAAAATTTTAAAAGTTGAAATCGATTATCACGTTTGAAAGAGCACAAAAAGTTAGCCCTTAGAAGCTAGGTTAAATGGTGATATGAGGGACCAACTTTTCGGAGGCTAGTGACAAGGGTCGATTTTTTTGTGTATCGATTTTTTTTAGTGCAGAAACTTCACTGGAAATAATACTGTTGTATACCAATCGACAGAGCAAAGCTTTCTCCACAAAACCTTATAATTGGTAGTTCTCTTCGTGCCACCTATCAGGTCTAAATAATCGATGTATCATAAAAAACCGCCAACTTTTATGGTCACTCATAATTCTTCTGGACTTTATTTCCTCGCTATCTTTTGAGAGTCTAGAGTAGACTTTAGATAATATTGTAGAGCATGAAATGACGCATCTTTTCATATAAAAATATCTGCTTCAAAGTACTCGCAAAGTTTCTAAAAATCGATAAGAAGATTGTCCACTCACAC